AGAGCATGACGGGGGATCAGGGCAGATCAAGGCCCCAGAGGTGAGGGAGGGAGCGGGGCATAGGCAGGAGCAGGGGCTGAGATGAGTGGGCCTGGCTTGGCCAGGTGGTGGGACAATTAGAGGCCCAGGGGCCACGTGCCCGCCAGGCCTCTGCTTTTCCCCCACTTTCCCCAGCCCCTGCTCCTGCCTGTGCCCTGCTCCCTCCCTCACCACTGAGGCCTCGATCTGCCCCCCGCTCACCCCCCAGCCATGAGTGAAGGAGTGGAGCAGAAGCAGGCCTTGCACACTCAGGGCGGGTGCAGGACAGAGTCTGAGTGGCACAGGGCCCAGCCCAGGAAGGCATGGGGGGACACATGCCCCCAGATCTGCATGCGGGGCGGAGCAGGGCAGGCTGGGACCGGGCCAGCGCACGGTTTGGCAATTCAGCCACATGGCTCGGTTCTGGGGCCAGGCAGCAGCAGTGGCGGGAGCAGGGATACAGGGAGGGCCGCATGCAGATCCAGGGGCATAGGCCCCTGTACCCTCCTGGGCTGTGTGCCTGCCCCCCCCAGCCCCCTCCACTCCCCAGACAAGCCACTCGTGGCTCTGTCCTGTGCCCACCCCGGCTGTGCAGGGCCTGCCCCGGTCGGCTCTCCCCCTCACCACTGCACGTACCCCTCCCCACCCCTGCTGCAGCCACCAGAAGCCCACGGCCGGGCTGCCTTGCGGCCCTACCCACTGCCCCGCATGTGGGGGGGCTAAGCCCCATTATCCTACCCTTCTACCGGCTATGACCCCACCATGCCCCCTGCCACTGGGTGAACAGGACCCTGGCTGGGCTGGGCTGGGGGAGGGTCAGAGCCTGGGTGGCTCGTTCAGGTGGTGGGGGGGGCTCCCACTGCTGGGCACATCCCAGCAGAGACCTTGGGGGCCCATGCTCCCCAACCTGTGCTCGGGATGAGGCAGCTGCTGCTGAGGGCTGCCTGCTGCACCCTGAGCACAGGTGGGGGAGCATAGGCCTCTGGAGCCTCCGTGGGGGTGCACCCAGCAAGAGGACACTACCAAATGAAAGGAACTCTGATATTAATGATGCAGCTAGAAACAGCACTCCAGTGCATTGCACTGAGCAAAAACTGGAGCATTGTCTTTAAGATTAGCAAGCACTAGTACTTAATAACAGGGAAGGGCATGGTTCAACTACAGGACTGGCAACTAAAAACCAGAGTCCTTAATTTTGGCCCTGCTACTAATGTGCGGTGTGGCCCTGGACATTCTTTGTCCCACTTTAACCAATCAATGTCAAATGGGGGTAACATCTACCTCACAAGTGACATGGAAGTGCACACAGTTGCACTCATCAGGCTGAGCCAGGAAAGGTTCCTGATAGTTAATAGTGATAAAATTGTACTATCATCTATGAGGATTCACACTTCTACAGAAATAAATTTAATGCAAATCACTTTGACCACCCTATCCAATCCATGCCTAAATCTTAAAAATGCAATACTTGGCCACATTTCATCTAATTAATTTCATTAGTATGGAAATTTCAGGTCTTTTCCCACATTACTGAGTCTAGATTTGAACATGGTCACATTATACTAGAACACAAGGTTAAAGTAATTTTGAAACATACTAGGGGTGCACTGATAGAGATTTTTGGGTACCAAGAGCTGATTTTTAAGGAGGCATATTGGTCGTTACTGATCCAATTTCCGATACTAGCCTGGCAGTTTGGAAAGCTGCGGGCAGCTGGTAAGTCTGGTGTGGTGGAAGGGGGGGGTGGGGAGGGAAGGGGCATAGGGGGGACAGATCAAGGCCCCTGCAATGAGGGAGGAGTGGGGCTGGGGCAAGTGCTGCCCAGCCAGGGTGAGGTGGATGCGGGACAGAGCCATGGCTAGCCTAAAGTGGGGAGGGGGATGGCTCTCGCTGCTGTGCACTGCTTATCTGGGAGCCACTGGTCTTGCACAACATGGGGGGGGAGGGGGCATGTACCCCACCACTTCCCCCACCCTTGAACTTTGGTGGAGGATCGGATGTGGCTCCCAGGGTGAGTAACTCTGGCCACCCTGCTATAGGTATAGAAGAATCAGTGCTGATACTCTCTCACATATGAGCTGTCCACAGTGTGTTTTGCATTATGTACTATTAATTTTACACATTTATAATATGCAGATTAGAGGGAAGTATGGTAAACTAAACTGAAATAAATAAAACATGGGATACATGCTCATGATAAAGGTGACAGCAGCTGAAACTGACTCCAATTTACGTAAACTACCATAAGAACAACATTCTGTACTCTGGACAAGCGGTCTGTGTGGCCCTCAGCTGGGCAATGCCTACCTCCTACAAAGCATAAGCAGAGATCCTTAAAAGAGCACAGAAACATCTTCTAGAAGTCTGCAAAGATAATTCTATGATACTGAAAATGTATAAGATGTTCAAGAATAATTCATTTTTATTAATTTTATTACAAGTACTTACTCTTACTGGTAAAAAAGCAATTATCTGCAAAGAAAACTTACCTTTCTGCTGTAGGGGTTACTAATAACCAGGTTGGTGTCATCTGAACCTGATAAAATATATTCTCCTGTATCATTCCAGCAAATTGTATTCACCTGTAGAACATATGTAAATAAAATTGCAGTTAGTTTAGGAAAAATTCGTGCAAGAAATAAAACACCCCAAAATACATACATATGAACTGCTTAAACTTTCTTAAAATATATAGGATGCTAACGTACGGTCAGAGGCCTGATTTTCAATCCTATCCTCACTTTGTGCAGTATGCTCTTCCATGACTAACCACCTGCACATGTAGCGGATGTGGCTTGCATGCAAATATTTTATTAAATGCATGCATAGGCATTTGATAGCAACAGAAAAGGACAGTGCATTTCATTGAATCTTCAGCCTCTACTACATTAACCAAGAATGACATGACATACATGACTGGAAAAAAATGCATTTTCACGTATGTTCTTCAGACAAATTCTACAAATGAAATAAAAAGCCTGCATAGAATTTTAATATGACAATATTTCTATGGACTTGGAAAAAGTATTCTAACAGTGGATAATATGAAGACGTTGTGCCATTTTATGGAATTATTTGATATAGGAATCTTCTTTAATTTATGTAGGCATCTCTCTTGATACTTGTATATTCTATAACACTCTTCATACATACATAAATGTTGCTGCATCTCATTACTTCAAGCCACATACCAAAAGCAATACAATCCCATTATCGGTTTACATTAACAGGAATAATTTTAAAATAATGATTCTGTTTACGTGTGCAAATAACTGGAAAATAGAAACCTAAACTTTAGTAAGTGATTAAAGATAGCAGCCTTCAATGAGGAATAGTCATTTGGTTAAAGTGTTTTCCAGATTTAGGACTTTCAACATACATTTTACTTTTCTAGCCTCTGAATTGCTCCCTTTCACACGCGACAATGGAATTCTAGGGCACCCATCGGACAAGAGGAAACTTCCAGGAGGTTATACAGTGCCTAGTTACTCTCTCTCACACACACACACACACACACACACACACACACAGCCTTGCTCTCCAGAATGCCTAGGGTACAGTGCCTAGTTACACACACACACAGTGCCTTGCTCTCCAAAATGCCTGGGGTACTCTGAATTTTAGTTAGGAAGGAAATGTTATAAAGTATTCATTACTGTATCTTCAAGTTACACAAATCCTGCATCACCTGTACACTGAAGACCCATACTTTTCCAGACCCTTGTGAAAAAACACACCTTGCATAACATTGAGGAAATCCTCCCAGGCCTCTCCTGCAGAAAGAGGGATGGTTCCAGAGAAGAAATCCGCATTGGGGTAAGGAATCAGGTTAGAAGCATGTAGCACTATTTCCTTGTTAGTTTTTCCATATATAAAATATTGTTAACGCTGTGTAACCAAGATTGCAAAGTGTTCAAGCACCCACACTGAACACCTTCACGAGAAAATTGGATGCTTTTCTTGCTGGGATCCTATGACCCCAGCTGACTTCCTGCCCTGTGGGCAGGGGGCTGGACTCGATGATCTTCCAAGGTCCCTTTCAGCCCTAATGTCTATGAAATTTATGAACTGTACTCAAAAATAGAAAGATCAGAAAGGATGCTGACATGCCTTAAGAGTGACTCTAATTCAGGCCAAGAAAGCATTTTCATTCTAAACCCTTCTTCTAAAAATGTAAACAACATATCAAAACTATCATCTTTGGGGTGAGAATGTCTTATTCCATCCTGAGTCCAAAAGGTATTTTTTTATTTTATTTTATTACAATATGAAAATACAATAATTTGGCTACTTTATTTTGTAAAGATAAAATTTTAAGTTTCAAATCTCCTATCTGGGGCCTCCATTACAGAATATAATTTTTGATAAATATAATTTTCAAAGACAAATTAAATACATTTAAAATAGTAACGCTATAATTTTCCTCAACACATAGGCATTCATCATTCTAGGTGTCATGGATCTCAATCATCTACAATGAACAATGTAATGAATAAGCTCACATAGGTAATAACATTACAACAGCCTGACCCCTCAGCTATAGTAACTAAAGAGTGTGGTCAAAATAGAAGAATTTCATGCAACCAGTCCTGTTGCAAAAAATGAAATTGTCTAGGATGTTAGTTATTTTCCATCATAGATCCTTGCAGGTGAAGAATGCTACTATTACTCTTGACAAAAAAAAATGGTAATGAAAAAAGCACAAGAGGAAAAAAAATTATACGCTGCAAAAAAAGAAGGCATCAGCAAAAATAAAAATAGAAAGTGTGAGGGAACAGAACAAGAAAAAAAATAATAGAGAAGTTGGTTATGAAAACAAGAAAGGGAGAAAGAGAGAAACAGAGAATGAAGAAGCATGTAAAGGACAGAAATAACGACAAATATGCACATACAGATATTCACTTTCCAAGGAGAAACTCTGCTGGGAGTGATTTAACCCTGGTTGTTCCCAGGTCATTTTTCTCCTAGAGCAGTCATTTTTACTCTGCAAGAAAAATTCTGAACATCTGTACAATCCCAAAAGCAGCGACTCACGAAGGAGAAAATGAATGTCTGTACAAGATCAATATTAATACTGACATTGCAAAAAATCAAAAGCAGCAATACAGACTGTGGAATGATTGGTTAGGTTGCAGTACTGAAGAGAAAAACCTAGGCGTTACAGGATACTATAAGATAAATAGGAACGCAGGGTGTTTTGTTGCAAAAAAACAACCCAGTATACTGTTGGCCTTAACAAGAGTGACACCTGCAAATCAAAGGAAATGATGCTCGATTCTCCCGTTCTATTCTGCACTAGTGAGGCCTCACCTGAAGTCCAGTTTTGGATTCCACACTTCAAAACAACGGGGATAGACTGGAAAAAGTCCAATGAAAAGCAATAAAAATTATTTGGGGCCTGGGAGGCACGACTTATGAGGAAAGGCTGAAAGAACTGGAGTTATTTAGTCTGGAGAAGAGAAGACGGGGGGGGATTTGATATCAGTTTTCAAATACCTGAAAGATGATTACAAAGGGGATGGAAAGAGGCTTTTCTCTGTGGCCACAGGGAACAGGATTAGAAGCAACAGATTCAAACTGTGGCAGAGTAAATTTAGGTTGGAGATTAGGAGGAACTTGCTGACTATGAGGGTGATCTAGCACTGGAACAGGTTACCTAGAGAAGTTGTGGAATCTCCATCCCTGGAAATGTTGAAGAGCAACCTGAACAGACAATTCGCTGTTAATATATTGAGGAATGATCCTGTTTTGAGCCAGGGACTGGACTGGATAACCTTTCTTTCCAACCCTACTTTCCTATGATCCTATACAATTTTCCAGAGATGCCCATATGGTTAGTTATGTATATATATCCAAAACTACTACAGCATATGGGCTTATCGACACATACCTATTAAAGCAAAGCGATGAACTCCAGAGTTTATTGCTCCTGGGCACTACATCTGCATGTACACCCTAGACTGCAGCATGTTAAGATGGGTCGGAGCAGCCCCAGCTGGCAGGGAACCTGGGCAGTCAGTCTGCCCAGGAGGTCAGCTTGCCAGCCCAGGGCTGCTCCAACCCAGCTCAATGTCAACCTAGCTCAACCCAGCTCAAGCACCCTTGTGCTCCAGCCAACCCAGTCCTTGTCGACATGTGCACTGCTGCATGCTAAAAAACTCTGCAGCAGGACAGTACTTGTATTTACAAGTACCAACCTGTGGTGGAGTAAATTAGTTTCATGCAGCCTAATAGGGCTGCACATGTAGACGCGGAGACGTACCCTACAAGTTCACAGTCCCAGCCCATGGCATTTAAAAATATAACCCTCAGCACAAAAAGAATTTGAAGTTCCTGGTGTTAAAAGAAAGAAGCAGCTAATAAGTTTTAACTGAGCTAGCAAAGAGAATAGTCCGCTGAACACAAATGACACAATGACTGATAAGAGAGAAGCGAAGAGCCAACAGGTCTGCAAAGATTAGATATTAGCTTTTATTAAATAAAATGCTCTGTATGCCAACTTCTTTTCAATGTTCAATATTTATTACTGCTCTTCTGGCCTTGAAATGGAAGCAGTAGACACTAGGATAAATTGATCAAACAGCAGGTTTTTTTAAATTACCTATTTCTTTGCCTCAAACAAAAGAGAACTGTAGGAAATATATCTACCCCTTTAGAGATGTAAAGGAAATAAACTCCTCTGGGTAATCAAAGGAACAGAATTAACTAGATGGGGAGGAGATGAGTTGATTACCAGTACCAGTGGAACAAGGAAAAGGGAAGCATAAAGGTTCAAGGGGAAGTGGGAGCACCTGGCAGATACAGAAAAGAAGAGAAGAGACAGGGAGTGTCCCTCCTTCTCCATGTGAAATTAAAGCACAGGTGTTAACACTATGTCACTAGCATTTTCTATACTAATTAAAGACTTCTAACACTGGTTCCCAACCCAGGGGCGCAACCCAAATCAGGGCCGTAGGGGGTCCTTAGTAGGGTCATGAAGGGCCCACACACACACACACACACACACACACACTCATGCGCACACAGCCTGGGAGCAGTGGGCAGGCGGGATGGGGCCTCTACACACAAAGGGGGAAATGGTGACTCCCCCACTGCCGCACTCCACTCCCAGAAGCCCCCACGGCACCAGGTTGGGAGGTCCTATTGGTGCTCAATTTAGGGTTGCAGAAAAAAAAAGAGGCTGGGAACCACTGCTTTAAGATATATATTTAGAAATTGCTTACTTGCGTTACCTGGGGGGAGGGGACAAACAATAATACTACGGATGTACCCAATGTTAGATCAGAGTCCATTTCCGTTTTGAATACATCAGGGATGAATCATTTATCTCCGTCCCTACACTGTACCTTTCTTCCTTTTTTCAAGAATTTTCACTTGAGAGACCATACGGGTGTAGAAAATTGTCGTCTGAAGCTGCATTTCCTTTCCCTTCCTTGCAGCGAATATAAAGATTCATTTATAACACGTCCTTTAGATTTAATCACCTTCCAAGTGATTTATTCAGTGATTTCAGGAACCTACTAAGTGTTAACCCTGTAAAACAAATTAAAGCTAAAGGGTAAGAAGCCAAGAGAGCAGAAGT